TTTTGGTCTTTCTGGCTCCTGCCAAGTTCTTTCCTGACTCATGGATAATTTCTGACTACCTCCTTTTCATCCTTTGAGTCATCTCCTCACGGACATCTTTTCTGCCAGCTAAGTTAAAGTCCCCATATTATTCAAGACATACCCTGTATTTTCCATTAGAAGAATTTATCAAAATCATTAATTTCTTATTTGTGAGAAAAATAGCTGGCCAGTGTCACCCAGTCATCAACACTCCAGAGTAAGATTTACAGAACTAAGAGAACAGGAAAAGCCCACAGGCAAAAGGTAAGTGGGAAAAATTAATTTAAGAAAAGCTGGCTAGCAACAAACCAAGCTAAGGACGGCCGTTCATAAGTAATAAGATTCGGTGAGTGATTTATTTGGGAGCTGGGTGGAGGGCCCCTCAAAAAAGCCAAAAAAGCAAAACATTTAACACAAAAGTCCCATCCATGTCTCTCTTCATGAAAGGTTCCCTATCCCAGGCTTCTGCCACACCTTTTATAATACTTATCTCCAGTTTTGACAATAAGCCCACAAAGTATATTAGTTAACTGTCTTGATGCTGCAACAAAGTAGCTGACAAAAGCAATTTAAGAAGGGAGGGTCTGGCTTGCCGTTTCAGGGAACACATACAGTCTGTCATGGCCAGCCTGCCATACCTTCTCTGAGGTCACCATCATCCACTGCCTGGGATCAGCTCGTTTTCTTTTTATTTAACCCAGGATCATAAATAGCCTTGGTACCACCAAGAATTAAGATGGATCTTCTTGAATCATTTAACCTAATCTAGATAATCCCTTATAGATCTATGAGTTTTGTTTCTATGGTGACTCTAGATTAATCATCACAGGGCTGGAGAGATGGCTCAGACATTAAGAGCACTTGTAGCTCTTGCAGAGGACCTGGGTTTGATTTCCAGCACCCACATAGTAGCTTACAACCAGGATGTAACCCCAGTTCCAGGGGAGCTATGCCCTTTTCTGGCCTCTGTGGGTAGTGGGTACCAAGCACTCATGGTGGTGCACATACATACATGCAGGGAAAGCATTCATACACATAAATTAAAAAATAATAAATCTAAAAAATTTTAAATTACATATCATATGTATTGCACTTGAGAACATTGGGAGAAATGCAAGAAAATAAAGCCTAAGCATACACAGTCCGGAGGCTTGTTGGCATATTCTTTCCGTTGCATCATTTTGTTTTGTGTGTACATAGGTACCTGGTACCCTTGGAGGCCAGAACATAGATCCCCTGGAAATGGAGTTAGAATGTTATCTGCTATGTGGGTGTGGGAATTGGTCCTAGATCCTCTGAAAGACCAACTGGTGCCAGTTCATGGGTTAGTTTCTCTTCTATATCTGGGAACTGACCTCAACTCACATCTCTCTTCTCTATATTAAAAAAGGGAACAAAATCTCTATCCTGGCTCCTAGATGCCAAAGTCAGTCACCTTGTGAAAGAATTTAGGATGATTCCAAGTTGAAGAGCTGCTTCAGGAGGAAATGGATACTGTTTGGGCTTGCAGGTGACTCAGGTGAAGCTCTCTCCATAACCTGAACAGTCAGTTTATGAAAACGTAATATGTAACAATCAACAAACCTCAAGTAGTGCTTCCAAAGTAGTAGTCTGAGAACAGAGACAGTCTCACACTGCCCCCTAGTGGAATTTAGAAGCAAATACATATCACCATCCTTGATAAGCATTTGCTATTGATTTAACACAACAGATTAATTTCTTTCTGTACAGCCAGACTTCCAAGCCCTTGAGTTCCATGTCTGCAGCTTTAACAGAGTATTGGAAACATTGAAGAAAATGGTGAGTGTATTGAACATGTCAAAACATTTGTGCCTTTTTTTGGTCACAGAGTCCCATAGCCCAGAGTACCCTGAACTCAGGCCAATCCTCCTCCTAAATTCTGGGATTACAAACATGAGCTACCATGCTTGAGACCACAGATTTTAAAATATATGTGAAAGAGTTCGGTTCAATTCATAATACTAATAGAAAAATACTGTATTTCTATATCCATCCATCCATCCAGATGTCATATAAATGCAAAAATCTGAGAGTGAAAAATGCCCACCTTATGGGCAGCCTCATAGTACATATAGTAGAGCATATAATTAGCCATGGTCCTTCCCCAACATCCATGTGCTTTATTGTGTACTTGACTTTGTGTCCACACCTTTACAAGGGTGAGGATAGGGCTGGAGAGATGGTTCAGTGATTAAAGGTCCTTGCTGCTCTTGCGGAGGACCTGGTTTCAGTTCCTGGCACCCACACTGCAACTCACAACCATTTGTAACTCCAGTTCCAGGGTATCCTAATACTATCTTCTGGCTTCTGTGGGCACTGCATGCCTGTGGCACACATACTCACATAAGCTCATACATATAGGTATAACTAAATAAATCTCATAGAATTAAAAGAGAAGGGTACATTATATGTGTTTCCATTTATATAAGCTAATGAAGCTACAATAGCTCCAAACAAGTCAATGGTTGCTTGAGGACATGTGTAAAAATAGTGGTGAGAGACACTGAGGGAGATATCATGAGGGGTACAGAACACACAGTTTGTTCCCTATCTTGATTATGAGGGTGGTTTCATTGTCTTACATATGACAAAATATATCAGTTTACAGGCTTGGGGAAGTAAATGTCAGTAAGGTGCCTGCCACACAAGCATAAAGATTAGAGTTTGGATCCCCAGAACCCATATAAGTTAAGTAGAGAGGACGGAGGAGGGGAGAGACAGGTGGAACCCTGGAGCTCATTGGCCAGCCAGTCTACCTAAAAAGATGAGCTTTCAAGTTCAGTTAGAGACCCTGCTCAAGACATAAAGCTAGGAAAGACAGAGATTGCCAAGAAAAAAAACACCCAATGCTAACCTTTGGCCTCCACACATAGCATGCAATGAGCAGCCATGTCCACCCATGCACATGGCACTCTAGTAAGCACATATACTACATACACACCACATCACACACACAACACATAAAATGTACCAAATTAAGTGTGATATATAAAATTTATATATTAACAATTATATTGAAACTTTAAAATAACCTTTAAAAAGTGAAGCCTATTTCTTTTCCCCTTGTATCTTGGTAGGCCTTATGACTTTTCTTAGCCAATACTTGCAACAGAAAGCATATGTACCAATTCTGAACACAGGCCTCTAGAGGCACTGTCTATGTAGTGCGTTCTCAGACCATGTCAGATGTGCATGAGAATTGGCTTGGGTTAGCCTGCTGCAATATGAGAGCATGAGGGGGAAGAGTTGAAGTCATCTGAAATTAAACTGCCAGAATGACCTGGAAGATAAAGGAACTTAGCAGGACCTGAAGAATCACCAACCCTATCTCGGTTAAAATTGCCTATCCATACAACTGTAAGAAATAGCATTTTGTTTGTTTGTTGATTTTGGTTTTTCGAGACAAGGTTTCTCTGTATTGTTTTGGAGGTTGTCCTGTAACTTGCTCTGTAAACCAGGCTGGCCTCGAACTCACAGAGATCCACCTGCCTCTGCCTCCCGAGTGCTGGGATTAAAGGCGTGCGCCACCAACGCCCAGCAAGAAATAGCTGTTTTAAGCCACTAAATTTTTCAGGTGTTTGTTAGGAGTTGACTGAATCAGCTGGACATGGTGGCAAACAACTTTAATCCTAGTACTCAGGTAGATCTCTGAGCTCAAGGCCAGCCTGGTCTACAGAGTGGGTTCCAGGACAGTCAGGATTACATAGAGACCCCCCCAAAAAAAACCTTTAAAAAAAAGAGTTGACTGAATCAGAAATTGGAATCAGGGACATTGGAGAAATGGCAAGCAGGGAAGTTTGGAAGCATCAGGAAATTATGTCAAGAGGCAAGGGAGATGGCAAACTGTTGAAACAGTGGGCAAACCTGTTGTCCATTATGACTTGGAAGATGGGAGAAAGGCATTTTAAAGACTCAATCTGAGTAAGTTCTCAAGACAGAATGGCAAGTGTCAGACAGGTGCCCCAGGCTATATATGACAATTTCACAATAATAAGAGGCAAACACTAGATGGCAGAAAGCTTGCCTGTTTGCAAACGGAATTCAGAAAGAGTAGTTAGGGAGGCAGGATTTACTAGGTTAAAAAGTGAAAGTTGGGCTGGAGAGATGGCTGAGATTGAGTACTTGCTGTATAAGGACCTGAATTTGGACTCACAGCACACATGTAAAAAGCTGCCATAGTGCCTGTAACTGCAGCACTGGAGGGGAGGGAGGCAGGAGGGTCACTGGGGTTTGGTTAGTGTAGTATAGTGGGATCTAGTGTAGGGGGGAGAGTGAAAGCATTGAGACTCCATCTCTAGAGAACAACACAGTGATAGTGAACATCCAATGACTTCCTTACAAATGTTTGTAGAGCACACACGCACACACACACACACACACACACACACACACACACACACACACACACACACACAGTTTAAAGAGACCTGAGCATTAGTCCCATTGCCTTTGTGATCTGTGAGTGCTCAATTGCCTCAGTGTTCTCCTATATACAAGTAAGAAGGGTGCCCCATCTAGCTGGAAGACTAAGATTCATTTAATAAATGTTCAACAGCCATTCTCAGATCCCTGGTGGAGTGTATTACTTTCCCTGTTGTAATCAAGAGCCCTGACCCTGACAAAAGCAACTTAAGGAAGGGTTTGTGCTGGCTTACAGTTCCAGGGAATATATTCCATCACAGCGGGGAAGACATGGTGGCCGGAATGCAGACGAACTGAAGTGGCTTCCTCACAGGGAAATCGGTCTCTCTGCACCCATGGCCCAGTTCCCCTTGTAGTCTCAGGCTATTATTTTGATAGGAGTTCTCAACCATTGGGACTTCCAGATGAGCCAATTGAGAAATAACCCAGAGTGCTGAGTCAAAATATGCCCACATTTTAAGAACATCAGTTTGAACGGCAAACTTTATGAACTATACAGTATCTGAGACAAGAAAAATGACATAGACACTCATGCCTATGAAGAGACCTGTTTATTACTGAGGATATCTCATTTGGTGAAAACCACAGAAATCCACATACAAATACATAAAGTGCAAATTCTCACAGGCTAGCAATATGCCCCACTATTTTTACATGGGAAGATGGGATGTTTACAGAAACTGTTAAAACAAGGACATGATTCTGAGCTACTATCAGAAATTTAACCCATTCTTACTGTGTTTTATCTGTCATATACACCAAGAGCTTATTGTAGCCGATAACAAGGTCTCACCATATATAGATGAAGATATCCTTCCCCTTTCGCCTGAGTGACTCTGATAACACACATGATAAATCCTAATATTGTATCAAGTAGTATCAAATCAGATGTGACTCACTTGAAAGGTGGGGTTATGGGTTCAAAAAATGGCATCCAGATCAGTGATATTCAAATCACATAAGACACATTCTTAGCCTTCTTGGCCAAAACCTTCTTTTGTGAGCACATACTATATATTATAGATAGTTTTCATGTGGAAAGATCCTTGCACTCCCCAAAGAAACTGAGTGTGTGGCATAGGTTTATGTCAACATGACACAAGCTAGTCCTTCTAGAAGAGGGAAACTCAATTGAGAAAATGCCCCCACAGATTGGATCTTGATGACTGATGTAGGGACTCTAGGCTGGTGGTCCTGGATGTTATCAGAAAGCAAGCAAGCCATGGAGAGCAAGCCAGTAAGCAGTAATCCACCATGGTCTCTGCTTCAGTTCCAGCAGGCTCTTGCCCTGAGTTCCTGCCCTGACTTCCCTCACTGGTGGATGTAGAAGCTCTGAGATGAAATAAACCTTTTTCTTCCCAAGCTGCTTTTGGTCATGGTGTTTATCACAACGACAGAAACCCTAACTAAGACACTGAGTGTTTATGGGTGTGCATGCTCAGTAAACATCGCTTACTGTGTAGTTCAGTAATAATGAGTATTATCTTTTAAAATAAAACCTCTTAACTGCTATTGTTACCAGTTAAATACTGCATAAGAGGAGATACCAGATTAAGCAGAGTAGACATTAAAAACGATAAAGCATGACCTCTGCTCTCAGGCAGCTAACAGGTGTGTTAAGGAGTGTCAGTGAACTAAACAGAATCAACTGGCTAATACATCAGACAATGTTGTAAGGTTCAAGGGTAACACAGCCGTTGCAGGTCAATTAACCTGCCACTGATACTTTGGAAGTATAGATCAGAAAGGCAGAGAATAACCTAGAATGTATATTATAATAAGGTCACTGTGTGCCCTTCCAGGAAAAGGCAGCAATTGCAGGTGGGGAACTGGACTGGAACTGGGAATTTAGGGGCACATGATAAACTTGTGTTCCTTTCTGACATTTTCTTTTTCCCCCCCTTTTTTCTTTTTGTTATGGTACTGAGGATATTGTATCTAGGACCCTTGACCTGTCAGGCAAGCTCTCCACCACTGAGCTACATCTCCAGCCCCCTGTGTAATCTTTATATTATACTTTACTGCAGAGAATTCAGAATTCCCTCGTGACTTAGAAACAGAACAGGGACTCTCACGTCAGTGGTAGGTTTCTAAGGGTTTTGCTCTCAAGGCCCTATTACTCAACATTTTCATATTTCTCTGATTTAGGGTTCTACTAACAGGAAATTTAGGAAGCAAACTCTGGTCACTTGACTTGAAGTTTTATAGCCTTCAATTAACAGAGGGAAGATGGTTTGTTGGGTGTACTAATTGGGTGAATAGTAAAAAATAATAACACTGATTTTGTTTTATGACTACGACTAAAACCAATGCTCTGCAAAGAGTCAGACAATATGCCACTCTCTTCTGCTTTAGTTTTTTTTTTTTAATCTGGAGCTCTCTATGAAGCCTACACTAACTCTGAACTCACAGCAATTCTCCTGCCTTAGTCTCTCCAGGGCTGGGATTACATATCCAGCTCTCTCTTCACACATATTTCAGCTCATTATAAAATGCTCTGGACAAACATGAAAAAATATTTCCTCGAAGTTTTGTGCTCTGACTGACCAAAGTCAGTGAACCCCATCCCCAATAAAATGCTAGACCAATTTGCCACTTTGGATAGCATAATTGTTACTTCATCAGTTTCTAAAACAAACTCAGAAAATAAAAGCACAGTAAAAGGTCACAGCAATATCAGCTATAGGCAACCAAAAACAGGCATTGAAAGACATCGAAGTTACTTCATACAGTACACATCTCAAATATTCTGACAACAATAAAACAGTTTTTAAACAAACATTTCACGACCAAGTTTAAAGCCATCTGAATGAACACAGTTAACATTCTTATCAGTGAGGTAACAGGGTAGTAGTGCGTCAACTTCACAGTAAGAGAAGGTAGAAAGATGCCTAGGGAAGAGGGAGGTAGAGCAGAAAGGTGCAGAATTAACTGTGTCCGAGTGGAATTTGTATTTTTCAAGCTTTGGAAATACCAGTGGAAAAGTCTGGAAACAGAAGCAGTGGCAGCATTTGTTGCACTTCTCTAGGAGACTCCCACTTAATGTTTCTGTTGCATCAACTCCAGAAGCATCTTGATGAAGAAAGGGGGGCCTACTTGCTATATGCAGACATCATAAAGTATCCAATCTCTTGGAATCTGTCTTAAGTCACTACATCCAAATGTTGATACTTTATATTTACAATAGATCTCAAATATCTTACAAAGCAGTGTGTTCTCCCAGAAGAACGTTGAATGTGCTCAAGTCTCATATAGTTTGTAAATAAAAAGAACACCCATCACTGCACGCATGCACCTACCATTTAAAATACACACAAGATATTTGTGAGCCAAACTCTACATATGGAGTAAAACACAAAAGTCACCATTAGTGCTTTATATGGAAGTCTTGTTCCATCCTGATTCTTTAAAGTGTGTATATAGGAATCTTTAAATAAGGGTGAGAAGTTGGGAGGATTGGGGGGTGGGGGAGGGGGGAGGGAGAGGGAACTGAGAGTGACATGTGTAAAAAGTTAAATAAAATATATGGAAGTTTCAAACAGGTTTTATGATCACCCCCAAATTCTTACCTCTTAAACATTTCACGTTTTCTATTCATTAATTTCACAATTACATATGTGTATAAAATGTATTATGATCATAGTCACACCATTACCCTTCTCTTAACCCTCTCCAACTCCTCCTGACTCCCTTCTTTTCAACTAGTCCCCTTCTACTCACCATGTCTTCTTTTCTTGTTTTAAGAACAGGTCTTGTCTATTCGTTTTATGTCCTTATTCCCTGTGTTGTCTTCACTACAGATCATCAGGATGCCATTAGTGTTTCTTACTTTGATACCTTCTGTAAAACCCTCAATGAGTAACATGACTTAGTTAATGAGCTCAACAGCTTTCAGTTTCAGAGTCCAACGATATTGATTCCTTGAACTTTTTCTTAGAGGTTATATTTTACAATCCTTAGTTTTATTTCTTTTACTTTTGTTCTTTATCTTCTCTGGATCTCATGTGATTCTGAAAAAACATCCAAGTAGGACTGGAATCCATAATAAGAATGCTTTTTGCTCCCCTCCCAGAACTGGGCTACTTTTCAGTGATCACTACTAAAGGAAAATGGTAGGCTCGCTGTTTGCTCACCCTAACAAATACAAGTGAATACCCTGGCATACAGTTTTCCCCACCATTCCTAGTGCTTGGTTTGTGCTTCACAAGAAGCATTTCTCATGCTACCATTGCTGTAATTTCTACGCTACTCTTTGATTTTTCTCCATCAATAATAATCTCCTCGCCTCCTTGCATTGCCAGAGATCAACTGCAAGCTTTGCAACTATCTTTGCTTTATCTGCATGCTAGATAAGTACTTTACCACTGGACTCTATCTCAGCCTAATTCTTTTCCTCAACGCTCCAGAAAATACCCGTTTTGACTTGTTTGCTCAAAGAAAATACATTCATTCCCATACTATTGCTGGAAAAAGAGAAGAGATGAACAATGTAGTGCCAAAGTTGAGGCCCACTGGCTGACACCCCTTTCCTGTTAGCACCTAGGCACCCACTGTGTCAAGCTCATGTTAAACATGCTCAGACAGATTCAAGAATTTAGACAAAATTAAATTTTCCTCAACCTATATACACTTTGGGAACCTTTATACATAACTGGAATTTAGCTTTTCAAGGTAAGATCTCAAATGTCAGTAACTTCACTTTAAGATGACTTATATCTTGTATATGCTCAAGCATTCAAGCAGAAATGTTCTCTTTGTAAGTGGATGACAATCATGGCATGGCTTTTGTGATTATGAATAGGCTGTCACATCACTTAAGTTTCATTTTGTTCTTGGTCACTGGAACACAGACACTAAAACTGAATATACATGTTTTCTCATATATAGCTTTGATTATACCACTTTGTAGAATACATACCATTTCCTAATTACAATTTACACTCCAAAAATGTTTTTATAATTTTAAGAATAAAACAAAACATTCAGTATACTTCTTCTCTACAGCAAAGCCTTTAAAATAAACTCATACATAAAAATGGCACTGTACATTAACTAGCTATTATCTATAGTCATATAGGACCCAGCTCTAAGACAGCAAGGAAGGAACAAATTAACAATAGTGGCAACATAATTTGAAAACTATGTTTGGATTATACAACCAAAATTAGCTCAAAGCTGTGACAAACCAAACCATGATTTAACATGCTAATCAGTTTAGGCTTTACATTATTATTTTTAGGAAATAAATTAGTATCAGTGCTGTCTCCTATAGGCAATTTTGTTTAAACAATTACACCCCAAGGCCTTATTACTGTTATCCTCACTATAGCATGTATTCAGTAAACCATGTAGGGAGGTAACAATTTGGAAAGCTTAGACAATATTTCTCTATTAGGGCATTTCAGAAGGTTAGACAATCAACCACAAATGAATTTCCTGTTTTCACACTGAAAAGGATGAAAAATATATTATCAGAAATTTCAAAGTCAGCAACACACTAAAACAAACTGGCCTTAGTCTTAAACATCACTGTCAGTGTTTCCTAATACCTACAATTTCCCACCAAGCACCAACCATGCTTAACCTTGTTTATCTTCTGAGATCAAACGAGACTGGGTATTGAATCAAGGTGGTAGAAAATACTTAAATCTCGATATTTCATTTCTTAGTAAAATTACCATTACTTTCAGATAAAAGAATAAATCTACTTATAAAAATGTAATTCAAAAAGACTGTCAATTAAATACCACGATCATTCCACAGCAAAGATTTTTTTTTCACTTACAGGCTATAATAACTGGATCCTAGCACGAAGACTCAACTACAGCTACATTAAGCCAGATTTTTAAAAATTGATTGCATTTTATTTAGGGGCAGGGAACACACACAATGTATAGAAGTCAAAGGAAAATTTATGGGATTTGGTTCTCTCTCTCTCTTTCCACTATGTGAGTCCCAGGGATCAAACTCAAGTTGTCAAGTTTGGTGATAGGTGTGTGCATCCACAGAGTCATTTCATATTTATATTGTCTATAGAAAAGCATATTAGGCCAGATTTTTAGTAAGATCTTTTCTACAACCATTTTTAGTGCCAACAAACCTGTCTTCTGTAGAGGAAGTACCTATACAGCTTGGAAGATTTCCCTTAGCCATCTGAAAATGGACCGATGACATATCCAATGCAGGACATGGTTTAATTCATACCAGACCCTGAGAATGCATTGAGAAATGTGACAAGAACAAAGCCACTAGGAGTGCTGCCACTATTGTTTTATGTTCAGTAAACATCAGTCTTAAATACATATAGTAAATATACACCACAACAAGGGCACCTGAAACAGAGGTGCAAAACCACAGGCTGTAATATCTGTCCTAAATCAGAAAACCTAAATAACTATTAATTTTTTTGAGACAGAGTCTTACTGTGTATCCCAGGTTGGCCATAAGCTAACTAATGATCCTCCTGCCTCAGCCTCCTGAGGGCTGTAATTACAGGAATGTGCCACCAAGCTGGGTTTCTAACTTGAAAATCAATACCTACATCATGACAATGACACTTTTCCACAATGCATAGGAACAGTACCCCCAGTACACACATCTTTAAGAAATAATTTCCTTAACTAGCCCTAAAGTTATATAATGTTTCTTTTAAACCATGCTCTACACAATTACAAGATATGTAACTAAGCTTAACCACAGTTTAATAAGAAAACTCACTTTTGTATTGTTTCTGATATAGGAGGAATGGCGTGCCACTGTAACACTTTCACTGTAATGACTGTCATTTAAGACTATGAAAACATTTGACTCATATCCCTCCAAACATTTTCATTTCAAATGTATATAATCTATTTAACCAGCTGAACAGAGGAAAGAAAAGGGGAAAGTTAACTTGGCAGATGGAGAATTCCAACATGAGGTTCACTGTGTAGAGTTCTTCATTCCATGTCAGTGCAAAGTCATAATGTACTGATGTGCCCTAGCCTACACAGAACGCCAGATCAGTCCATTTTTACTGGGCTCAAGAAAATTCTCTATCAGAGCATCAATGAGCTTCTTTAATTCTTCTTCTAGTAAGGCAGTGTCACTGAGGGAAAAAGACAAAGAGCTTGAAATTTCATAGCCTTAACATTTAATTAAGTTATTTTCACTTTTAAGGAGGGCATATATCTGATGGGACAATTAAATAACTGGCAAAAAAATTCACCCAGTTAAAATAATACTCTCAAAAAATTCATACTAAACTGGGGGTTGGTGACACACGCCTTTAATCCCAGCACTCAGGAGGCAGAGGCAGGCAGATCTCTGTGAGTTCGAGGCCAGCCTGATCTACAGACTAAGTTCCAGGACAGCCTCCAAAATAATACAGTGAAACCCTGCCTCGATAAACCAAAAAAAAAATACTAAAGCAATAATCATAAATTAAACTGAACTGCACTACTAGGCATCTTCTGATCCATGATAAAGCATGAGGTAATTAGAGCCAATTAATTCTCCTATGCTAGGCAACTGAATAGCTCAGAAGGCCAATACCAAGTATTATTATAAAATGGCTTCCTGAGAGGCAGGGAAGTAGTGGCACATGCCTTTAATCCCAGCACTTGGGAGGCAGAGGCAGACAGATCTCTGTGAATTTGAGACCAGTCTGGTCTATAAGAGCTAGTTCTAGGACAGGCTCCAAAGCTACAAACCCTGTCTCAAAAACAAAAAACAAAACAAACAAACAATAACAACAACAACACCCCCCCCAAAAAAAATGGCTTCCTGAGTTATTGAAGGACTTTCAATACAGATGACACGGAAGAATACTACCTATTTTTCAGATAGCAGAAAAGAGTGCCAGCACTCACTGAAGAGACAGAGGCAGGTGATCTCTGTTAGTTCTAGGCCAGCATGGTCTACACAAACAGTTCCAGGCCAGGCAGGACTACACAGTGAGAGCCTGTCTCCAAAAAGAAGAAAAGAATAATTAAGTGCTTATTGAAAAAAATAGCTCTACATCTACAAATAATTCCTTCTGAATTGTCATGGAAGTACTGCTGCAGCCCAAAACATTTCTAGAGAAGTTTCTAGTAACTGCTTTCACAGTCATTTTATAAGCCAGGTAACAAATCCATTTTTATTACTTTAATAATTTTTCATTTTTAACTTAAAATCACCTTATTTGGGTAACTACAAACTTTTCTCTGAATGTAAAGAGGACTTTTTCCTCTCTAGTGGAAATACAATTTTAGTACATGGGCATGGGAAAATATAAAACACACCTTAGTTGTGTTCTGAAAACAATTAAAATACTTCTAATACTTTTAAATAACTTTTTTTTTTTTTTTTGGTTTTACGAGACAGGGTTTCTCTGTTTTGGAGGCTGTCGGTCCAGCCTGGCCTGTGATATGTTTATTAAAGAGACTAACAATCTGTAACAAATATTTCTTATTTTCAGAAAATGAATTAGGCAGATTATGCAAAACCATGGCAGACACACAAAAAAGTATCTGATAATGTACAGAGCACATGTCGATCATTTCTTCATATTAAATCTCAGAGTCTTCGACAGGATTCACAAGTTTGAAGTTAAATTCTCAATGATACAGCTTCTTAGGAAAAAGAGTCTGGCAGTTTCTCAAAAGGTAAACATAGTTCCCTTAGGGCCTAGCAATCCTACTCCTACATATATATCCAAGAAAAATGAAAGTGCATACCACACAAACTCATTCACAAGTGCTCGTAATTGTTCCATTCTTGATAGCTTAAAAAATGTAAATAGTCTGGATGTCCATGGATGAGTGGATTTCAGAACATGATACATATCCATTCAATGGAATATTTGGGGACTAAGGATTATACAGCCACTAAGGACCACATACTGTGTTTCATTTATATAAAATGTCCTGTTATGGGATGAATCTGAAATTTCCTTTATAGAATCAGGTATTATAAATGCTTTGTCTTCAGATATTGGTGCTATTTGGGGTAGAATGTACCAGAAGGAAATAGGTCATTGGACTGTGCTTTTGAAGGTTTTATCTGACCCCTTACTCCTCCATAATGCTCATCCTTACCTTAGGTCCAAAGCAACTGACCCAGGCAACCATAAACTGAAACCTCAAAAAGCATGACCCCAAATAAATCCATCCTCCCTTTTTTCAAGGGTTGAAAACAACAAGAAAAAGTGTAACCCATGCCCAGTGTAAGTAAATCTACAGAAAAGGATAGTAGATTAGTGATTGCTTAGGGCTGTTAAGGTCTTCTACAGGGTACAGAGGCTTCCCTTTCTTCAGAACAAAAAGGTTCTAAAGTTGACTGTAGTGATGGTTACATAGCTCTGGACATATTAAAAACCACTCAACTTTACATTGATATGTGTGAATTCTATGGTATATAAGTTATATCCTGATAAAGCTCTTACATATGTATCTAAAAGAATCAGTCCTCACCTCTGGCCAGGTGATGCACACATCTCTGCATAATACTTTATCTTTGGTTCTGTCCCACTTGTTCGAAGAGTAGCAACACAGCCATTTTGAAAAGTAAATGTAATCATTTGGCTGTTTTTACTCACTGGCAGTACCTACGCAAAATGCAACAGTTTACACATGTATCTTTATTTTCAAGAACTATAAACTACATTGCACTTAATAAAACATTTAAAGTAGTCTAATTCATAGAAACAAAGTAGACTGGAGGTTTCCAAGAGTTGGGAGATGGGGCTATAGGGGGGTAGAAAGTTATTTAATGAGTACAGAATTTCAGTTTATCAAGGTTAAAAAGTTCTGAAAAATCTGGTATATAGTAATATAAACATACTTAACATAAGATAACTGCATGTTCTAAAACTGATAAGATTTAAAAAGAGGTCATGAAGTCCTGAGGGAGATGAGCTAGTGGATCTCAGAGGAGTTGAAGGGAGGTAGTGAGGGTATATAAGATCAAAATACATTAAACACATGTATGAAATTTTCAAAAAATAAAAGTTATTAAAAATGGGTAAGATATAAACATGTGTTAAATAAATTAGAATATTGAAACAACATCTGAATATTACAAACGGAAACTTAAGCAAACAGTTATCATAACAATAAAATGAATATGATAATTTATCATACATAAGCATCTACTAAGTACCTACCATACAGGCAGGAGCTTTGAGAGACATAGAGGAAATGACCTGCTACATACAATACAAAGATAACACAAGTAGATGTCAACAGAGATACTATTACATAACCCATGGAAAGTGACCGATTATAGGACCTGGAAGTCACAAGGAGGATGAACCATTTGTCTTAAGTCCTAAGCCTCATGCATTCTAGGTAATCACTTTATCACCATCAGCCCTTGCCTTAAGCCTTAAACAATGGTGAAGTATGAACCTACAGCAGAAAGGAGAAAGGTAAACTAAGGCAAACAACTTGACCCAAAATATGGGAAAACTTTAAAATGTGTTTAAGAAATCAGTTCCTCTATTTGTCTAAAGGTATGGGAGTCAGTTTAGAAACATGTTAAAATTAGAAAGATGCAGCGTGTTGAAACCAGAAGCTTTTAGACTTTGGTTTTCCACACCATTTATCACCCATGTACATTCCTTCTCTCACTTTCTCCTCTTCCTTGGTCTCTTCAAGCCTACTCCCCTTTACACCATGGTAGTAGAGATGATTATTTGGAGAGTCATGAATGTCAAGAGACCAGTTAGTGTATCTCAAAATACCCTGGCACAAACTCTCATGAAACTGGAGGTCACTCTTTTACTATAGCATGGATTATGACAAATACTTAAAAAGTTTTCTTTTAAGAAGAGGTGTTTTTCAAGAGCTTCAACTTCCATCTGAACACAAAGGTTGCTGGGAAGGTGGTGCACCTGGAGGGTGCTTAGGTCTTGCAAGGCTCCACCTGTAGGGCCTCGCCTCTTCCATCTGGCTGTTTCTAAAGTGACCACTGTAAACTAGTAAACATGAGCGCACTGGCTTGAATCTTATGTGAAACTTGTTCCAGCTTGAGGGTTTTCTTTTTTTGTTTTTGGTTACTTGAGTCATTAAATTGTTTTCATTGTTCGAAAAAAAAGAAAAGGTACTTAAGGTACTTACTGATTTCTTATTGGGCTGGCTGCTGTCATATCCAGTGGTTATGTCCCGTACGTGCAAGATAGCAAATGCTCCACAAAACTTTGGGTATTCCTTTGGAGACTCAAAATTGCGAAGCCTTTCAAATATAGTTTTGATGGTAGGTGGGTCATAACACAAGAAATAGGAAGTTTTTGATATGTGATAACCGTATCTGTGCAAAGATTTAAATCTGAAGTCAGATTCTAGGTAACTTTTGGGACGTGTACATATTAAAGATAAGCCAACATAGTACTTTATAGAAAATGATACTGATAATTTTAATAGTAAAGAGATCTAACTGTTCCACAAAACCAAATGAAGGACCAAACCAAACAAAATAGCAAGCAAGAAAGATCTGGCATGTGATATTCATACAAGAACTTACTTCTCATAAACTTTCGACAGCTGTTCTGTCAGGGTTACCTTCCTGGTTTCCAGGAAAGAGGCCATCTCAGCAACAACAACAGCTGCACTCACTCCGTCTTTATCCAACACCGAGGTTCCACAGAGAAAACCTGAGGGTTACATGGTGTCTTTAGAAAAGGAGAAAACCTCAGCCTACAACTGCCACAGTTTTACACTTCTTCCCTGATTAGTGAATAGAAGAGCACATTATCAAGCTAGGTGTGGTAATGTATGACTATATTTCAGCACCTAAGGGACTTAATTGGGAGTTCAAGGCCAGTTTAGGCTGTAATATCTAAGATTTTGTCTCAAAATAAAAACAACACACAAAAAAACCCTAACATTAACAAAAAAAATACAGTGACAACAACAAATCCAACTCCATAGGAGTCTAGTAACAGAATGTATTCAGGAACCTTTAAGGTCTTTGATGGAAAAATGAACCTACGTATTGCAAACAATGCCTTTAAGTTTTTAAGCAATGCCATGCAATGTAAGCACACCACATGCTTAAACTGTGTGCACCTTTCCACAACATCATGGCCTGCATAAAGTCTTTGCTAATTTCTTCTTTGTAGCCAGATTTGAGGGGTTTTCATCTGATGAGATACTGTCCACTTGAAAGAAAGACACATATACTGCTAGGCATGCATCTCTGCATTTTCTGTTTTTTTTAAACAGTATGAATACTATTTAGAAATACAGAAACTCTATAAGCTTTTTTTTTTCTTTTGCTTTTTTGAGACAGGGTTTCTGTGACTCTGGCTGTCTTGGAACTCGCTATGTAGACCAGGCTGTGCCTGCCTCTGCCTCCTAAGGGCTGGGATTACATGTGTACACCACCGCCACCCAGCTTGTATTACCACCGCCTAACTGCATCTCTGCATTTTCACAACTCAGAATTACAGCCAGAGATAAACGTCTCCTCTCTACAGAATTACTATATTTTAAAATGCTTTCAACCAAAAGAAAAAGTTATTAGTATTTACTACATACCGATAGACTCTTCAAATGCAAAAAGAACTTCTTTCCCATGCCCTAGGAGATCTTTTATCCTACTTCCAATCCATTTAAAGCCTGGTAATGTTTCCTGAAATGAAGAAGAAGTCACTACAGTTAAGTGACTCTGATGAACACATATTAAAGAGCTTATTTCTAAGTGCACATAACCCCTCAATAGTGAGTTTCTGTTATGGTCCTTGTTTATATAGTGGTAGATATATTGTCACAAAATACCATAACCACTACACACAGGCGCAAATAATGACACACCAGCAGAGAAACAGGTGATTTACATCAAACATGTTTATATGTTGAAGAATATAAATGCAAAGTCATGTGTGTGTATATATTATGAACATCTAGTGCTTGTTAAGTACTGTAATGAGTGTTTTACATCATCCCTTCTAATGCTCACAAACATTGCTCAGAGATTACCGTTCCCAAGACTGCACATAAGGGATGGGGGCAGTGTTTAATTATATTGCTTTCCTGAAACTATCCTTTAAGCACTCATGGAGGATGTGATTTAGCCTGCTTGGGTACTCAAAGCCTTTAGATTTTTAGTGACACAATATAAGCACACCAATGCTTGAAATGTGGGTATTGTTCCACAAAGCTGTGGCATACATAAAGCCTTTACCAACCCTTCTTGTAATCAGATTTGAGGGCTTTTCATCTGACGAGTTACTGTCCACTCTAAAAACATGCCCTGATTTAGTGTCAACAGAGAAAGTGTGTATGCACACTAATTCTAGAGCTTAGCCATCACTAATCTGTTTCCTTAATTCAGTTTTCTACTTCCTCTTCAAAATAGAAACAGAAAAGCCAACACCACCCTCAGTAAAAACAAACAAATTTATAATATTGTTTTTTAGAACCAAGTTTCTCTTTTATGCTCAGGATATATTCTTTGCCATAGACAAGGAAAATGTTAACATCATAATTCAGAATCTTAGGCTTGAATAAAATTTCATTATCTTCTAACTTTTGTGTGTAATAAGCACAATACTCATTCTTCTCTTCTTTGTATGATTGGTGTGTGTGTACATACATTCATGTTAATGTGATCGAGAACATATGTATGCCAGTTCACATGTGGACTTTAAAGGACAACCTTGGGGCCGGGCGGTGGTGGCGCACGCCTTTAATCCCAGCACTCGGGAGGCAGAGGCAGGCGGATCTCTGTGAGTTCGAGGTTGGGCTGGACTGACAGCCTCCAAAACAATACAGAGAAACCCTGCCTCGTAAAAACCAAAAAAAAAAAAAAAAAAAAAAGGACAACCTTGGGAATTGATCCTCATCTTTCAACCTTATTTAAAACAGGTCTGTTCATTGCTACTGCATTCAATGGGACAGCTGGCATCTGAGCTTCAGAAGCATCCCTGCATCTCATCTTGTTATAGGAGGACTAGAATTACATGCATACAGTAATGCATCCAACTTTACATGGGTTTTGAGGATTCAAATTTGGGTCCTCAAGAGTACCAGGCAAAACTTTACCCACTAAGCATCTTCCCAGCCCACAATATTCTTTTACTTATCCAATTAGTGTTAAGATCCATAGCTTGGTGATGACTCATGAAAAATGCCCATTTTTATTGATACTTGACTGATGGGGAAGGTTCTTCTGTGTATATGTTGTCCTATTGGTTGATAAATAAAGCACTGTTGGCCAATAGGGAAGCAAGATAGGTGGGACTAGGAGTCGAGGAGGATTCTGGGAAATGTAGTCTAAGGTAGGAGTCAATGTGTCCTGGGAAGAGAGGAGGCTGTGTCCTCGGTAAGGTAAGACCTTATAAAATATATAATAGTAATTATGGGTTAATAATTAAGTCAGAGCTAGCCATTAAGAAACCATAGCAAATGGCCAACAACTTCATAATTAATATAGTGTCTCATGTATTATTTGGGGACTGAGACAGTGGCCGGACCCAGGCAGCTGGCAGGAAGAATACACATTATACTTGGCAAAGAGGACAGAAGACCACTTAACTGACCAAGTTAAGTTTAGTCCAAGTAGCTATAAAAATGGTCACTAACTACCCTAGGTTTACAAAATGAATGATCCAGCCTGGGAGTCACTACTTATTTTCTAGGTATAGAGTCACTAGATCTTAGTCTGAAATTTAGAGTTCTGGTTAAGGTAGCAACTTGTAATTCTATATTTGATAGGTATAAGCAAAGATTCAATGACCAAAATTCTCTGAAGTCTGTGTTACTGATAGGCCATATTTTCCCAGGCTAACATGTTCTATGTTCCCATATGACATTCCCAGACAGTAGTACATGGAGTAAGGAGCATTGATGTGATTGTCTGGAAGAACATTTCACCTCAGAAATTCACATACTAGATGACTTTGACTCGGGGTGTCTAAAACTAAGCAAGTGTATATAGAAAATGGGAAGAGTAATGCATGAGATCAATGAAAATCAGTTTGGTACAGAGCTGTCTTTATAAAAATGTTTAGAAAAGCAGCATACAGACTTCAAATGAAGTCTGCTTCATTCTTACCTCAAAATGAAATCCTTCTTTAAGTGCAATTGCCTTTAAAATTTTAGAAGAGACAGTGGTGGCTAGCATGTAAACATTCTTCACATCAGCATTTGATTTGTGTTCTTTCCAGCAATCAAACAGCCACCAACCAAACAAAGCCGCCAGCTCATTCCCTGTGAAAACTTTCCAATGACCGCTATAGAAAGAATGAAAATTCCAAGTCAAGACCTTTGGAGCTTCTCATGAAAACTTTCTGGCTCAGACCTTCAAATCACTGTTCATACCCTGCCCCTCCTTTGTCTAAAACCTCAAAAGTTATTATATGACAAAACATTCATTCCTTCTTTTCAGTGTGTTGTATACACATGTGAATCTACTTGAGTGTGCACATGTATGTGCATATTTAGGGAAGCCAGAAGTGAATACTGAGTAGCTTCCTCTATACTCTTCACCTTATTTTTAAATATAGTTTAAATTTCATTTATGTGTGTGTATGTTCTTGCTTGCCTGTGTGGGCACATGTGTGTAATGCCTGTGAAGACCAGAAGAGGGTGGTGGATCCCCTGGAACTGGAGTACAGACAGCTGTGAGCCACCTGATGTGAGTGTTGGGCACCAAACCCAGGACTTCAGAAAGAGAAACGTGCTAAGCCATCTCTCCAGCTTTCCATCTTACTTTTTGAGACAGGGTCTCTCACTGGACCTGGAGATCATCAATTCAGCTAGGCAGACCAGCCAACGAACTCCATGACCTTCCTGTCTCTGTTCCCACCAGTGCTGTTGAGTTCATATGCACAGCTGACCTGCTGTGTCCTGAAAACAGCTGTGTTGTGGTCATCTACTGCCTCTGGCTCTTAGATTATTTACACACTCTCTTCTGTGATAATCCTTGATTCTTGGGAGAAGGAGGTGATGTAGATGTGCCATTTAGGGCTGAAGCTCAAACTACTTACTTCGCCTGAAGTTCTGCCACTGCCAGCCGGTCTGCATCAGGATCTGTGGCTAGCACTATCCGGGCATTCTCTTTTTCTGCCAGTCTCAGGGAGAGTTCCTAAAAAGGTGACCCAAAAAGGATAGATTGTATTAAAGAACCCAAATCCAATGTTCTTGTTCCCAAATGTAGGCACTATATCAGCAATATGAATTTCAGAAAGCATGCAGTCTGGAGAGACAGAACTAGGGCCACTTTCTGCAGAAATTTCAAACAAATTCTTACAGCTCCAATGTAATTTGAAAAGTCTCATTATGGTGCTTGCTGCAGAGCACAAGGGAAGCATGTAAGTTATCTTGCCATGTCACTCAGTCCCGTCTAGCTTCGTGGGTAATGAGCTAAGAATAATTTAAATATTAAACACAATACCAGCACAGATTCCCCTTCCTCAGGGTTTGGACATTTAACAGTAGAGAACTCTGGATCTGGATCTTTCTGTTCTGGGACGGGAATTGGAGGCTTAAAACCAAATACTTGAAAAGCCAACTGCACATAGTCATGTCCAACTCCATGAAAGGAGGTATGTACAAATTTCAAGGTGGTCTTTGAATTTAAGTCCCTGTAAAGAAAAATCACACATATCCTTACTTACCATTCACTAACAACTTCCTACAGAAAACAAAATTTATAAAATAAATATTTCATAACAACTTTCAAAATACATATAAAGAGGACACCCAACATTCATATATACTTAGCACTTTGTTTCACATCTATCAATTCTGTCAGCCTGGCTTTATTTCTCCAAATCATATTATTCTTTAATATTTAAAAGCATACTCATAACCCCACTGTCACATCTAACAAACTAAACAATCATTTTTTAATGTTGTCTAATATCTGTGTTTACATTTTCTTCAAGTATCTAAAAAATATCATCTGGTTGCTATGTCTCTCAAGTATTTTAATTTGTAAATGTTTTGTCCATGTTTCCAATCTTTGTTCTCTTCCAGAGAATATCCCTGGTCTTGGTATGCAAATTTGCATCCTTTTCATAGTTTCTTGTTTTTCTTCTCCTCCTTCCCTCCCTCTCTCTCAGTTTGAGACAAAATCTTGCAAAAGTCTCCATCTGGCTTCAAACTCACTGTGTAGCTGAGGGTGACCATTAACTTCTGATCCTTCTGCCTGTGCCCCAAGCACTGGGATTCCATGTGGTATGTCACTGTGCCCAGTTTGTGTGTTACTAGGGATTCAACCCAAGGAAGGATTTTCTCACAGAAGGCAAGCACCCTACTAACTGAGCTGTTTCTCAGCCCTTATTTATATTAGCATGTTTCTCTGATCTGCTTCTACAAAGAATGGGTCATTCAATCTAGGGGCAACATGAAATTCAATTCCAATTCTTTTGGCAAGAATAGGTGCTGTATATTTTCTACCAAGCCACAAGAAGTAGTTCATAATATCAATTTCACAGTTCATATTTATCAGTGTCCTGCCATCCTCATCTATCCATATGCAATTTCCTATCAATTTATTGCCTATTATGAGCTTTGAGGGTGGCTGCTAAGGTTTATAATCAAGATCACAAAATTGTGATGTTTTTATTCTATTTATTCTTCTTTCTGTATTAATAGTTGAATCTGGCGAAGCTAGGTCAGTGGAAGAGCATGTATAAAGCCCCAAGTTCAAGCTCCACTACAGGAAAAATAAAAGTGGATTTTCTTTCTTTGAAAAATGTTTCTCTTTCAGCCAACTCTTCAACTCTGAAATAGAATTTACACATGGGAAAGAAAAATTATCAGAAAGATTAAACCATTAATCAATTTTAAAAATGAATTCATAATTCATTACAAGTCTCGAATGAATGATTTTCAGTCTGGAAACACACAAAAGTGACCAATAATGTGCTTTCCTAGTATTGCCAACAGCTGCTGGTTTTCTTTTTTTAATGTCAATTAATTATGGTGATTCTTCATTTTGAAGACTTTCTAGCCTTTGATCAGTGGCAGACCCTTCATGTTTGTTCTTCTATGCTTTCGATATGACCTAAATATCCCCTGGTATGCTAGAGGTGAGAGAGGGACAGAGAGGCAGAAAGGTGAGAGGGAGGAAGGAAGAGGGAGAGAGAGGTAGATAAATAGAGATAGAAAGACAGAAACAAAGGAAGGAAGGAAGGAAGAAAGGAAGGAAGGAAGAGGGAAAGAAAGAAAGAAAGAAAGAAAGAAAGAAAGAAAGAAAGAAAGAAAGAAAGAAGGAAGGAAGGAAAGAAAGTCAATGATTCTGATACTGAGCTTGTTTAGGTCATTTTCTATACCAGGCCTGGGTACACGTTATTCTAAGGTTATCCTACAGTCCCACTTGGATACCTGTGAAAACAGATCTTTTTCAGATCTTCCATGTATCTCTTGCAAATGTCCTGGAGAGGATCTTTCTTCAGTGGGCTGGTGTCCACTAAATTATCGTTCCAGGAACCATTCCAGGGTTCCACACATTCTTCTATACATTTCAGAATTTCTTTATCATGTGGCGATGTGATTTGAGCACCAGTTTCCCAATAAACCTATATGATACATAAATATAACCATAACTAGTTAAAATGCTTGTTAGGCTCTTTTTCAGCTATAGTGGAGTTCTCTGGCTTTTTGAGGAGTATAGAATTAATTAAAAATGTCAATATTAGACTAATTTACCAACACTAAAGTACATTGATGGTAATGATTTCACAGAGACTCATCAATAAGACAACCGAGTATTATATCCTACCTTAGAATCTACTGCAGTAAAAAGTTAATATAAGGGATCAGTATAACTACCTTATGTGCATACATTAGTGTCAAATTATATTCTTAGATTCATAACTATATTCTAAAGATAATATTAAAAACATGAAATAGAGTGAAAGAGATGATTCAGCAGTTAAGAGCACTGGCTGCTCTTGCAGAGGATCCAGGTTGGTTCCCAGCACCCACATGGTGGCTCACAGCCATCTGTAACTCCAATCTCAGTTTCATAGGATCGGACACCCTCTTGCAGTACTACACTGAGGGTATTGTATGCATGTCGCACACAGACATACATTCAGGCAAACATTCATACACTTAAATAAATCTTTAAATACAAAGAAACCATAAAGTATCCACAAAAAGGACACTATTAAACTCAGCATTGTGTTATATGACACAGAATAAATAATTCCCATTGTAAATTAAAGTAGAATTTCTATGTATAAATTGTATTCTATATCAAACTATGTGTCTGAAAAGATAAAGATGGTATGTTAAGTATCTACATACATTTCAACCAGTTTTCAATTTGTCTAGTAGTTAAATCAATGTGGCACTAAGAACAATCACACCCCCCCAAAAAAGGCAATTCTAAAACTTCACAGAATTTCAAAGATGGAAGGGATGTCCCTTAGAAAATATTTATGCTAATTCTATCATAGATATGACACAGAATCCTAAATGAAAGAAAACAAAATATATTTGAGTGCATATACTATGTATTAAACCCTGTCACAAGCAATGTAACAAATTATTTGACTTAAAAATTCTTCTATCAACAACAGAAACAACAGGAAATATACAAATTCATAGAAATTAACTCACTACTGATTTCAAAAATCAAGAGGAAAATTAAAACTTTTTAGCACTGAATAAAATGAAAACACAACATACTCAAACGTATGGGACACAATGAAAGCAGTTCTAAGAGGCAAGTTCATAGCACTAAGTGCCTACATAAACAAAACAAAAACAAAAAACTGGAGAGATCTCATATTAGCAACGTAGTGACACACTTAAACACTCCAGAGCAAGAAGAAATAACACCCAAAGAGTAGATGGGAAGAAATAATCAAATTTGAGCTTGAAATCAATAAATAAGAACAACAAAAACAATATAAAGTATCAATGAAATGAGTTGGTTCTTTGGGAAAAATCAGTAAGATTGAGAAACTCTTAGTCAAATTAACCAAAAGATGGAGAGAGAAATCCAAATTAGAGATAAAAAGGGGGTCATCATGATAGAAACTGAGGAAATTCAGAGATTAAGGACATACTTTAAAAATCTATATTCCACCAATCTGGAATACCTAAAATAGAAGAATTTCTGCTGGGCGGTGGTGGTGCACGCCTTTAATCCCAGCAGAGTCAGACAGATCTCTGTGAGTTCGAGGCCGGGCTGGACTGATAGCCTCCAAAACAATACAGAGAAACCCTGTCTCGTAAAAAACCAAAAAGAAAAAAAAAAAAAAAGAAGAAGAAGAATTTCTTGACGTATATGGCCCACCAAAGTTAAATCAAGATCAAATAAGCCTATAACCCCTAGTAAAATAGAAGCAGTAATAAAACGTCTCCCAAAATTTCCCATATTTTAAAGATATTTGTGTTTTCTTCATGCAAAGTTTGTTAAAATGTGTGCATCTACCACCTATCACCCATGGCATTGGAGCCCCTGGGACCAGAGTTACAGATGGTTCTGAGCCATCACATGGTTCCTGAAAACTGAACCAGAGTCCACTGGAAAAGTAGCAGTACTCTTAACTGCTGAACTATTTCTCTAGACCCTTCCTAAGCATATTGTTTGAGACAGGGTCTCTCATTGAACCTATAGGACAGAGGCAGGGAGCCTGGGGGCTTGCTGTCCAGCCAGTCTGGCTGAAACAAGGAGCTCTATCCCTTGTCTTTTGACTGTACATCCAAGTCAAGGACTTAATCCTATATGTTCTAATAGATATGGTACCTAAAACCTACAAAATCTATAATTTCAGCCCATATTTCCACATTCAACTGCCCACAGTACATTTAACTCCCAATACCTGGAACTTACATGTCCTAAACTGAATTACGTTTCTTCCCTGACTCTAGGAATGGGCCAGTCCCAAATTTTAAATTGATATGAAATCTTTCTCCTACTTAAAATGGAACTCAGTGTGTCTGGACTCCTTCTAAACAAGAAGAAAAATGTAAGAACATGGATTCATCTTCTAGAAGCCCGAAACATGGGCTCAGTAATGTGCTATGTACCTCGGGCTGACTGTCACCTTTGCCACTCTACTTTTGTCATTTTGTCAGAGAAGCTACTGTAGCAAATGGATCCTGTGGCCATTGAGAAGCCTCGGCAGATCAGGGGGAGGTGAGAGTGAGGTCAAAGTACTATTTCCCTGACTCTTCCCATTCATTCTTCAAATTCTTGACACACAACATGACTTGATTTCTAAAATTATAAAGGGGATATATTTGGATAAGATGGAGAAATCAAGGAAAACAGGAGTAAAAATCCTAATGACGAGACCACTATAATGTGTATACTCTGAGAACCAGTCAACGCCATTGGAGGTATACATCCTTAATCTATTTCCAATGCCCGGTTTTGTTCCTCAGTGTTGAAAATTTACCTAGCACATATTATTCAAATAAGATGAAAACTATAAAATAGGCAAAGATTAGGCATGCAAGTTACCTTGTATCCATTGTCTTCTTTGCGGTTGTGAGAGGCAGTAATCATCACACCTGCAACTGCTTTGAGCTCCTGGACTGCATATGGCTGAAAAAATATATCACAGCAGCATTCTTCCACTTTGCTTGCTAGATAGTCATACATTTTACATGAACATTACTTGGTAGAATAATGCAGGAGGACACTTAGATATCAATAATTTAAGATCTCATTGGCTCCAGGTTTGAAGGGTAAGGTCCTTTTCTAACATATGCAGTTCAACAATCATCCAATTATCACCTTGAATGGCCTTTCCTTCCAATCTCATTTTGCTTATTGGTATAACAATTTCCTATTCTTTTGTTATACAATAATATTTAGTAAATACTACATAGCAGATACTTTACTGGCAAATGCAATCATAAACAGTTGGAGATGGAAATAAATTTAGAAACTATCTTATCCATCACATTTTACATGAGTTTTATCTGACATTACATAGTCATTAGGTAGAAGATTCAAAGCAAAAAATGAGTCTTTACAAACACTCTCGGCCTTCATGTCACATAAGTGTCAACTCACCCTTCTCTCTCCCAGGTTGGGTTTCTCTTTCTCTCTGTAGTAACTATTATTTCTCTTCCTTGGATGCTTCCCTACAGCTTCCACCATCACAATAACTACTCTCCAGACCACAGAAAGTAGGGGTGATAGAGGAGGGGAAAGGTGTGGGTAGATGTTCCAGGTCAGATCATACTAGTCTAGTCCCTTGACATGGATTCCAGAAACAGTTTCAAACCCACACCCAATCAGAGGTCCCTCCCCTCCAAGATACTCTGGCCACCCTTAGTTAAGGAAGACAACTTTTGATTTGAAGTCGTTGGTGGCAAATGGGTGTGAATCTGGGATTGCTAAAAATACCTTCCTAATCAACTGCTGCAAATCTACCTGAGGTAAGACAGGAAAGACAACACACAGGCACTGATGTTAGCTGGGACTGGCAACTCTATGGCACAATCTTAGATTTCTGAATACTCTTGTTACTGAAGCTGAACATATAGATACAAGGAAGACAAATACTCTACCATTGAGCTATAGCCCTAGCTCCTTCCTGTAACACAATAAATAAAAGACCCAGAGACAGATATTGGCATTTGGGCTTCAAGCTGAAGATCAGAAAAGCTAAGCAGTTGGGTTAGGTTACCTCAGACTGAAAGGTGATCCTATTTCCACCAAACCTCAGACTTCAGCGTGGTTGTAGAGTCTTGAGACTTCAATGTCTTCCTATCCTCAGTGTGACAGGGAGAATGAATGCCTGATACTGAGACTTTGCTGGGATTAAAGGCATGTGATTCCAGGTGCTGAGATCATTTTTATGTGAGCTGTTTCTCTTTCATGTAGATTTAAGTGGCCTTGGACTCACAGAGATCTGTCTACCTTTTAATCCTGAGTCCTAGGATTAAAGGTGTGTATCACTACTTCTTAGTTTTTGGCTGCTGGGATTAAAGGTATGTGCCTGGCTTCTATGGCTTATGGCTGACTTGGCTTTCTGAATCCCCAGGCAAGCTTTAATAAATCATAAATAATATATCACCATACCTTTCTAATTTCTATTACTCGCTGGTGTTAACTTTATTGATACACTTTTTTTAAAAAGCAATTCCTTCAATTCTTTTGTTTGTGTTTCAAGACAGGGTTTCTCTGTGTGGCTTTGGAGACTATCCTGGCACTCACTCTATAGACCAGGCTGGCCTCGACCTCACAGAGATCCTACTACCTCTGACTCTCAAGTGCTGGGATTAAAGGCTTTTTTTAAAAAATTCCTCCAATTCTTTGAGTCTCCCAATAAATTTCCAAAAATTCAATAGAATAATCTATAGATATTATTCATTCCTTGAATATTTGATAAATCTTGCATATGAAATCATTTGGACCTGTTATTTTAAATTTAAGAATACTTTATAAAATAACAATTCAACTTAATGAATAATTATAGTTATTCAGGTTTACTATTATGAGTTTGATGCATCAACTATTATTCTAAGAAAATGGCTAATTCATCTAAGTTTGCACATTTACTTAAATTATGGCTAGAAGTACTATGATTATCTTAGTTTCTACTCTGTTTATTACCCAGTCCTTTTGTTTATATCTTGTATCTTCAGCAACCCCCTTTTTGGGGGGCGGTTCAAGACAGGGTTTTTCTATGGCTTTGGAGGGAGCCTGTCCTGGAACTAGCTCTTGTAGATCAGCCTATTCTTGAACTCATAGAGATCCTCCTGCCTCTGCCTCCCAAGTGCTGGGATTAAAGGCATGCTTCAACACCACCCAGCTATCTTCAGCACTCTTTCCACAGTTTTATTAATAAATTTTTAATTACATTTATTTATTTATTTACTTAGGGGCAGGGAAATTCATGCCATGGCCCATGTGTGAGGGCAGAGGACAACTTGTAGAAGTTGGCTGTCTATTTCTACCATGTAGGCCCCAGGGACTGAAGTTATGTTGTCAAGCTTGGCACTGGAAGTCATTGCTCCAGCCCAGTTTTGTCTTCTGTTACTATTTTAAGTCTATGTACTTATTTCTTTTTCTCATACCTTTAAATTTTCATTCTTTTTAGCACAAGCATTATTATAACATAAGCTTCACATCTTAACTTTTTTTTTGCTACTGCATTTGTTAAACTTATAAATTTCCCTCCCTCAAAGTAGGGTTTAGTTCTACCTCATAAATTCTGGTTAAATACATCTCATCACAACTATAGGCTAGTAGTCATTTTGTATAGACCAAGCTCAAAGCAAAATTGTTTTCCTTTCTTTAATTAGACTTTCATTGGATTGGGCATTCAATACTTAGAACCATATGTATGGCAAAATTCGAGTCCTAATTGTCTTAAGAGGTCACCTGAAGGGCAGCCAGCTGAGTAATCACCATCACAACATACTTACTACAAAAGGTGTAGGAACGTATCTTGAAAAAAGGTAAACAGGAACATCTTTAGCAAGCAATACTGCAGCAGTGAGTTTAGCAAGCCTAAAAAAAGATATTTCACTTAGTCCTTCCCATAATTTTAATAAAGCAACCTTCCAGATAACAAATGTTTCACAATGGAATTATTTTTAATTTTGAAACAAGATTTTTGATAGTAGCCAAATCTGGGTGGAACTGTTACCTAAGTTTACCTCAAACTCAAAATCCTGCCTCAGCCTCCCTACTGTGCCACCATGCCTAGCCAGCCTATTCTTGCCATTACTGATTACTTAAGCTTGATGTTCCAACTTGAAACTGCTAAGTAAGGTCTGTCTGTCTGTTTGAGGAGCTAGGGATATTGCATGGTGGCAGCATACTGGATTGGCATGCACAGGCCCCAGCTTCATCCCCAGACACACATAAACAAAAACAAAAACCCTGTAATACTGGAGGGCAATGAAGCAAATAAACTTCATTTGTACAGTTGTCCTCCTTAAAAAGTACCATGACTATCAATTTATGACAAGATACTAAGGCAGGATTATAAGAACAGAAGCTTCATAATTACTCCTATTTAATGCCTATACATAAAAAGTATAGACTGATTTTCTGTGAATTTGCAATATTTTAAGATTATTTTTATACTTCTATAAAATCAAAAGTTTATCTCTGAAGTGCATTTTTACTTCTATTTCAGCTAAAACTGTCCTCAAGCTTCAGAAAACATACAATAAGCATCAGCATGGGGTCACGTTTCCATATGAATGTCTCCTGTTTCAGAACTCTAGCCATTAGAAAAAAAGCCTAAATATTTTATCCCCATCCAATGTAACCTTTGCAATAATTATGTACCTCTGGCTGCTGCAGCTGCTAGTTACTTGACCCCGAGTGTCATACCCAACAACAAAGCCTCGCTGCTTGAAGTCTGAAAAACACCTCTCCAGGTATTTGTACATCCCCTGTAGCAAATAAACAGAAGATTAGCTCCTGATGCAAGTTTCCACTATAAGTGCCCCCCAACCCCACCCCATTCCCCTTTTAATGCTGAGAATGAACTGAGGGCCTCAAACAGGCTAGGCAATTACATTTCCACTGAGCTGTATCCCAGTCCCAATGCCTGCATTTTACAACTTAAAAGTCTCTAGTTTTTATGTTTAGTGGGCTGCTAATTGACTCAGAACTGGCTTTGGTGTTTATAGACATGCTTACTAACGTGGGAGCAATACTGTTCAATCCACAAATGTGAGATGGCAATCATTTCTCAGATTCTCAAACACATTTAGTATTACAGAAATACCAACTTAGTAACCATAACTCCAATACAATACATAAAACATGAGGGGAAAAAAAGTTAGGAGATGAGGGTCAATAAGGGAAGGGGGTGGGGTGTCAGAAAGAACATTCAGAAGAAATCAGGGAGACTGTTTCTTATTTCAAGGCTCCAGAGGGCAGAATTTTCACCATCTCACTTTATAGTCCAGGCTCACCTGGAACTTGCTATGTATACCAGGCTGGCCTCACTCAGAGAGTTCCATCAGCTTCAGTCTTCCCCTCCCCTGAGTGCAGGGACTAAAGATATGCACCACTATTGCTTAGCTTGCCAATTGGTGTCATCCCTTTAGATCACTAGAGGTCACTCTGGTGCCTGATCTGTCTTCTAACCTATGATTCCCTCTTCCCCCTATTTTACTCCCCCCCACTCAACCTTCCTGTTCCCCAATGACCTACTCTCTCTTCCTCTTCTCCCCCTCTCTTCTTCCCAGCTCCCACTCCCCCCACCCCTCGCTGTGTTCCCCATCTGTTCAGAGGATCTTGCTTCATTCCTCTTCTCTTGAGAGACCACCTCGAATGCCCATTCCTGATAATGAACTTGATGTCTATAACCATCCTGGAGCCTTCATCCAGTGACTGATGGAAGCAGAGGCAAACACCCACAGTTAAACACTGAACTGAACCCAAGAACCCAGTGACAGAGAGAGAGGAGCGATGAGCAAATTGGCAAAGAATGGGCTGGCAAAACCAGCAGAGACAGCTGATCTGAACAGGGGAGAGCTCTTGCACCCCAGACCGACAGCTGGGAGGCCACCATGGGACTGATCCAGACCCCCGAATGTGAGAGTCAGTGAGGAGGCCTGGGCAACCTATGGAGCCCTGAGCAGTGGATCAGTGTTTATCCCTGGAATACAAACAGACATCGTGTGCCCATAACACAAAGAGGGATGCTCTCTCAGCCTGGACTCTTAGGGGAGTGCCTGGACCCTACCCTGAGTGAAATGACAGACTCTAGATATCCCCTATGTGGAAGGAATTGGCAATAGGGTGGGAGGCTGGGGGGGGATGGTGGGGGAGGGTCCGGGCGGAGGGGAGGAAGAGGGAACTGGGATTGACATGTAAAACAAGCTATTTAAAATTAAAATAATAAAAAAATCTAAAAAAATTATGAGACAAAATAAAAACAAACAAAATAAAAAAAAAGATATGCACCACACCCAGTCAAAAGAACTCTTCATGAGGAGGACTGTAGTATGGACCAATGGTTCTTAACCTTCCTAGTGCTGCTAATCTTTACTACAGTTCCTCTTGTTGTGGTGATTCCAGTCATAAAACTATTTCATGTTACTTCACAACTGTAATTTCGCTACCAATATGAATCAGAAATATCTGATATGCAGGATATCTGATATACGACCCCTGTGAAAGGGTTGTTTGACCCCCCCAAAGAGGTCATGATCCACAGGTTGAAAACTACTGTTACAGATATATAAATGATTTCTAACATAAATCTTGGGCAAAGCAAAAGATCCAAATTGGTCTGCCCTTTTTGTTTTTAATAGTACCTTCCTGAACAAAATAGTTTTTTTTAAATTTATAAAGTAAAATAACAGAGTGAGAAAAGAACACATGTAACAGTTTGTAATACTTGCCTGTGTTGACTGTATCACTGTAAGGTCATTAATGTAGCAAAACCCTGCCCCCATGGCAGATCGAAGTCCCGCAGTCCCAAAAGTCATCCGGCAACAAAGACGATCACGCAATTCCTTGTTCATCCCATTCCGTAAGAGATTTTCAATCTGCTCTTTTGTTTTGGGATTCTGTTTAAAAAAACAAAAAACGGATCTAATCAGGAATATAAAATTCTGATACTAAGTCTGTCTGAGGGACCAAAGGTAGACTCATAAGCCTGGTTCATTATATTCCAAAGTTACTTAACTGAGTGTATACACCAGGTTGTGGTAGCGCACGCTTATAGTCCCAGCACTCAGGAGGCAGAGGCAGGTGGATCTCTATGGGTTCGAGAACAGCCTGGTCTACAAGAGTTAGATCCAGGACAGCCTCCAAAGCCAGAGAAACCCTGTCTCTAAAAACAAAACAAAAAAAAGTGTATACTACAAAAATACAGTATTATCTATACATGTATATTGTGTATACATATGTGTATGTATAAATATACATATACACATATATTTTAAAATAGAATATATTATTTATTAAACATCACTCTACTTACTGAATTCCCAAAAGAGCCAGGTCCCATTGAGGGTGATTTACATATACCTATTTTTCTCTAATCTTAAATTTTGTTTTGTTTTTCAAGATAGGTCTCTCTGTGTATCCTGGCTGTCCTGGAACTTGCTCTTTAGACAAGCTGGCCTCAAACTCACAGAGATCTGCCTCCTCTGCCTTCTGCATGCTAGGATTAAAGGTGTGCACCACTACTCCCCAGTTTATAATCTTAAATCTAAGAGCTATAAATAAAATGTCAAGGACTATCTCTGTCAGGATCTCTGTGCTCCTTGACTGTGGATGCAATGCAATCGGACACCTCATTCTACTGCCTTCATGCCTTCTCTGCCATGATAAATGGTCCCCTCAAACTGTAGGCTAAAATAAAAATCTTCCTTAAATTGCTACTTGTCAGGTATTTGGTCACAGTAATGAGAAAAGTAACAAACATACTGCCCATTTTATAATTCCTATATAATTTGAATCTAAGAATATTCTAGTAGTAAACATAACATCTTGAGAACAACCTAAGTCATGTACTATATCATTTAAAAGATTAGAAAACATGGATATTAAAGAACATAGTATCAAAATTAACCACGCCAAATCCTGATATTGTTATTCACTAAAGGAAGCCCATGCACAAAACTCTTCCATAATCCAGTATGTCTAAATTTACAAAACTTTAAATACTATTTTTAAATATCATTGTCAGAGATTTGTGCTTGAACAACAAATACCAGGTTAATAAAACAATAAAGAAAATTTTAAGTTTATCTCTGAACAGAAGTTAAAATAGGAAACTGCAGTCTGAAAATATGAAGGGTGAACACTGCTGACATTTACTTCTGAGGGTCAGCCAGCTTGGAGATCCATTTCCAGAGCCCTGCAGCAGAGCAGGGATCCAGTCAGATGATTTCTTATTAGCTTCAAAGTATAATCATGTTAAAGGAGTATTTCCCTATGTAAAGAATCCATGTGTAATTCTAAGTTTAATTTACCCATCTTAAAAAAATTCACCCAAATTAGCATTATTAAGTTGGTTTAGATAAAAATCTTAGATGGCTATATTAATCATATAAAACAAAATTTACTTGAAAAATAATTTACTAGGAAAAATAAGTTCAGGAAATGAAAATGTTAACTAGACCAAGACTGGAAAGTAAGTTTTGAAATACAACTTTTGTTATCACTTAAGTATAATACTGGATAGGGAAAAATCAACTTGAAAAGTTAAAAATGTCAATTACTGTAGTTTAAAACTTAAGGCTTTCTCGGGATGTAGCTCACTGGTAGGGTGCTTGCTTAGTGCACAGGTCCCAGGTATGATCCCTACCAGTGTAAAAAACAGGGCTAGAGAGATGGCTCAGAGGTTAAGAGTACAGGCTGTTCTTGCAGAGGACCCAGGTTCGATTCCCAGCATCCACATGGCAGCTCACAATCATCTGTAACTCCCATTCTGGGGGATCTGATGTCCTCTTCTGGCCTTCTTGAACGCTGGGAATGCTTGTGGTACACAAACATTATGTAGGCAAAACACCCATACACAAATAGTAAAATAACTAAAATTAACTAAATAATAAGTTGTCAAGCACATACTACGCACCATACACAGAAGACACTATTGGCAGTTCGAGAACTTTACAAAGTTTAATATGTAGTGTGGTAGTAAGGTATGTTTCAGTTTCCACAGAGACAATCATAGGTTCTGAGTGATGTAGCAGTATTTGGCCTAAGTTATTAAGCTAGGGTGAACTGAGGAAAGGGAGCTGAAGGAAGTAATATCTGATCTGATAGATAAGTGAAAAGGTAATATAAACTGAATTGTTGGAGGAGAGGGAGGAGGGGAGTGGGGAGAAGTAGGGAGGGGGATGGCGAACAAGCTGGGAGTAGAAACATAATGATTTCAGTATTCCATTTCCTGAGTTTGAACTGATAGCCACAGTCAGCACACCATCCACTGTCTCCCTACTAGATTGACTCTTCACAGGAACTCAGAAAATGCCAATTAAATCAAGATATCATTTCTATCTGAAGTAAAAACTTCCTCATCTTTAGATAAAAATGATTTCTTGGTTTAATTTTAAGAGTTTTTAAGAGCAGTGCCAGGGAAGAAGAGTGAATTTACTATGGCTGGATAATAACTCACTCCAACTCCCAGGGCAATAATCATTTACTGTCCTTCACAGTTTCTGTGGGCAGGAAGTGTAAGGTTTCTGTTGAAAGACTCAAACATCTGACTGCTGGAGTCACCTCCAGGCTTTCTTGTCATGTCTGGCAGTGATGCTAGCTGTTGGCTAGGATCCAGCAGGCTGCCATATGGAACATCTGCAGAAGGCACTCCTTGTAGTCTGGGCTTCTGCACAATGCTGGGTTCTCAGGGTGAGTGTCTAAATCCAAACCAGTCAGGTAGAAGTTGTACTACCTTTCCTGCCTAGCCCTGGAAGTCAAGCAGCTTTACTTCCACAGCTCCCGTTATTTCTTGAGGCTGTGACAAAGACTCATGACAAAGACTCACCTGGATTCTAGAAGAGGGAACACAGATCCTAACTTTCAACTGAGGAGTGTCAAAGTCATGAAGAAAGGCAAAGAATGTGAGATAAAGTAAGTAAATGACCCCAGCTACTTTTGATGTATACAACTTGTACAAAGGGACTATACAACCTCAAACTTGAAAGTCTGAAATATTGCTTGTCCCAAGAATTTGGGGTAAAGGATACTTAGCTAGTAGCTCAAATATTAAAATAGTCTTAATCCATATCTTAGTTTTTGCTGTTGTGAAGACACACCATGATCATGGCAATTCTTATAAAGGAAAATATTTAATTGGGTGGCTTACAATGCAGAGGTTTTGTCCACTATTATCATAGCAGGACATGTGGCATGCAGGCAGACATGGTGCTGGACAACTTGATCCACAGGCAACAGCAAGTGAGCTAAACTAGGTGTAGCTTGAGCACAAAAATCCACCCCCTAGTGACACACTTCCTCCAACAAGACCATACCTACTTCAACAAGGCCACACCTTCTAATAGTGCCACTCCTATGAACTTATGGGGGGCAACTACATTCAAACTACCACAATTCGCCGGGCGGTGGTGGCGCACGCCTTTAATCCCAGCACTCGGGAGGCAGAGGCAGTCGGATCTCTGTGAGTTCGAGGCCGGGCTGGACCAATAGCCTCCGAAACAACACAGAGAAACCCTGTCTCGAAAAACCAAAGAAAAAAAAACTACCACAATTCAGTTGTTCTATTTCTTGAAATTTATTCCCCAAGAGAAGTATAATTAATCAGGGATGCACATTAAGACTTAGTTATATATCCTCAGTGACATAGCTGGTCTTGCTCAGGGCCAGTTTGGAATGCATGCAATTCTCTTTTCAAAAATAAAACAAAACAAAAACAAACATACCAAAGATTTAGTTATAAGGACACTATTAAAACAATGTTGATAACATTAACTAAAATGTAAGTAAAGTAAACTACATATTCTACAGAAAATTGGTCAAATAAAAAGTATAACATAGGGGCTAGAGATACAGCTTAGTAAAGTGCTTTCCTCCCAAGCATGAGGACCTCAGTTTGATCAGGGCATCAATGTAAAAAGCTGATTGTGGGTAGCATGCGCTTTTAGTCCCAGTATGGGGAGGTGGACACAGGAGAATCACTGGGGCTCAACGGCCACCAGTCTATCCTAACAGGTGAGCTCCAGGCCAATGAGAGACCCTCCTTCAGAGGTAGTAGGTAACATTACTGAAGATGACACCCAAGGTCATCCTCTGGCCACCAAATGCACATGCACCCACAATACCCCCAAACACACATGAACCTGCAAATATAAACAAACACACATATGCATATATATATATATATCACATCCAAAATCTTATTACATTTTAATGATATATGAAACATTCAGGACATCTTAAGAGAGGAAAACTCATAGCTATATATGTAATGATTCCAGGTTTGTAAAACATACATATATACAAAAATACAACTAAAATGTGACTGTCCTTTATTCTTTTCTTTCCTTGTTTCAGGTAATATAACTAGGTGTAATTAGGGAGAAAGCCTACATTAATACCAAAGTTAATCTATGGGCTGCTATCATTTATCAGTTTAGGAAATTTCACAGTTACAATCTTTTCAAATACTGCTACTGGCCCACCCTCTTCCCCCTCTTTGGGTGACTTCAATCAATGGATCTGAGAACTTTTCAGTTTCAGGCCTCATACTCCATACTTCTCTTTAGTCTTCCTCTTAGCATTCTCTCACTACATGTTTCATCCTGAATACTTTCCACTGCCTTATTTGTAGATTACTAATTATCTAACTCTGAGTGTTACTAAATTTGTGCACTGAATTCTTATTTTTGGTTATTGTATTATTTCAGAGTCAGAACTTACATTTTAAAAAATACAAGCTTTTGCATTATTTTCACTTTTCTACCTAATTTATAATTTTCACTCTTAGAATTGGCAACCAGTTATTTTAAAGTCTGTATATAAAAATTTAGCATAAAGTACCTTTATGAGTCAGTTTGTAGTACATTTATTTCTGTGGGTAATTGTTTATTTTGACCTG